CTCCATCACTTCCTCAGCTATGAGGAGAGTTAGACTGGTTTATTATTAATTTGTCTTCTACTGTGTTTGCTTCATTTTATTCCCTGTTACTAGGAATAAATACTGGTTCCACTGCCAGAGACCTCTTAGACTGCCCAGGCCTCCCCTCTGGCACCCACGTTCAGGGGGCCTGGTTCGGTCCTATGGTGGTTCCCCAACTGTCAGACTGGGGTCCTTGAGCTCCCACTTGCTCAGGTCAGCTGTTTCTGTGGGTTTCCTGAGCATGGTCTTGACCCCTTTGCTCATCACTCCTCCCTCTCACTTTCTAAAGACTCCAAAGGTACAGAAAATAATTCAAAGATTTAATTAAAAGGTATTACATGAAATGTAAAAGCTTCTGTAAGGACAGTAAGATAGTCCATCAGACAATGGCATCTGTTTCACCTAGCAACCTGAATTAAATGAACCCATGTAAAGGTTAAAGAAAAGAATCAAGTCCACGAAATTGTCCTCTGGCCTCCACTCATGCTGTGACTTGTGTTTCTACACATATACACCATGTGTACACACATACACATACATACATACGCACACATGCACGCATACACACACACACACACACACACACTCACAGTCAATTTTTATTAAACTTCCTATTCAGCAAAGGAAATAATCACCAGACTGAAGCAGCATCCTCCAATGAGGAAGCAATTGTCCAAAATTCTTCTAATGGGATTACTATCTCAATTATATAAAGAACTGAAAGAATCTAAACACAAAAGTGAAATATATACGTCTTCAGACAAATATCTAGAGGCAAACAGACATGGGCTGATGTGGAACTCAAGTCCCACTCCAGCAATTCACCATGATAGTAACATCAAAAAGAAATAACACAAAAGCAATGGGGAAAACCTAAGAGGAATTTATTACAGTAGGTTGAATAGTGAATCATGTCACATGCATGAAAACTGACGAGACTTGGAAGATACTGTTTGAGATTTTCTCAAACAAATGAACAAAGTTTCTCAGGGTAGTGGAAGAAAGTGCATTCTGTAGCTGTTAGAATAGTCTATACTTGTTTGAATATTTCATACTTCTACATTTTATGTAATATAATACAAAAGCATTTTCACTAAAATTAAATAGAGGCATCTACTCAACACTTTTATTCAATATAGTGATAAATTCATAGTCAAAGCAATAAGGAAATAAAAGGGATACAAAAACAGAGAAGTTAAATTATCCATCTGCAGATGATAGACCCACATGTAAAAGCTCATAAAGAACTCACCTGAAGATTCCAAGATTTGATCAAAGATTCAGCGAAGTATCAGGTTGCAAAATCACAAAAGAATCAGTAACATTGCTATACACTAACAAAAATTTTGCTGAATAAGGTATCAGAAAAACAATGTCATTCAAACTAGTTTAATACTTAGGAATACATATAACCAAAAATATCAAGCACTTTCAAGAGGAGATTTTAAATGTTTTTTAAGGTAATAATCAGAACACAGTCCATTTAAAAACATACAAAAGGCATAAAGAGACTTCATGAAGTATATAGGAAAGAAATAAAATATGGCTCAAAACAATTACCCATTATTGAAATAAGAACTTAAGCCATAATAAAACACTTCTACAAATCTATGGATATGGTTAAAATAGAAGATAACAATACCAAGTGGTGACAGTGATGCAGACAACTGAAACTCATTTACATAGGGCAAAAAATGATAATCACCAAAGTTGTTTGCAGTTATTTATACAAATTATTGGAGAAACTACAAAATTGCTCTGCCTTAACAGTGGCAGCAGTTACAACACTGCTGCATGATAATTGGATAACAGAAGAAATCAAGAAGGAAATAACGAATCAATGCAATGAAGATTTGTTTCTTTGAAAAGCTAAATGAGACTGACAAAGCTTTACACAAATTAACCAAAACAGAGAGGACCCAAACTAATAAAACTACAAATGAAAATGAATACAGAAAACCCTACGAACATACTTTTATTTTTGGGTGTTTTTTGTTTTGGTTTGGTTTTTTTTGGTTTTTGGTTTTCGATTCAGGGTTTCCCTATATGGCTTTGGAGTCTGTCCTGGAACTAGTTCTTGTTGACCGGGGCAATCTCAAACTCAGAGATCTGCCCTGCCTCTACCTTCCAGTTGCTGGGATTAAATATGTGTGCCACCACTACCCGACAAGAACACGCTTTTAAAACCTCTATTCCAATAAATTCAAAAAATAGATTTTCTCCTGTATTTTCTATTTGAAGCTTTAGAAACTTCAGTTTTACACTTAGAATTGATAAACATTTCTTTTAATTTTTGAACATACTACAAGGAATTTAGAGTTTATTCTCCATATATGGATGTTCATTCTTCCAGTACTCCAATAATCAACTGGCCATACATAAACAGATATATTTCTACTAGTGTCTATATCATTGCTTCTCAAGCTGTGGGTCACAACCCCACAGGGGCTGCATATCAGATATTTACATTACTAACAGTAGCAAAATTAGCTTGAAGTAGCAACAAAATAATTTTATGGTCAGGAGTCACCACAACATGAGGAACTGTATTAAAGGGTCACAGCATTAGGAAGGTTAAGAGCCACTGTTCTATACCATTCTCATTATTTGTATGTTTAACTTCACAATAATATCAGTCTGGTTTGATAAACTATAATTTCATTGTCTTTAAATCAGCCTTTCAATTTTTTTTCCTTTCACAAAATTCTCTTACTACCAACCCTACACATTTTATGTAAACTGTAACATTTACTATAAGACCTAGCTATTGAGTTCCACACACAAAAACTATCAATATTTTAGTTGAAAGTATACTGAATTTATGGTCTAATCTTGCTCAGAACTTTCATAAAACATCAGGTTTTTCAGTCCATAGTTATAGTGTATTTTTCTATCTGTAGCTTTAATTTTCCTTAGCAGTGCTTTGTAGTTTTCTACCATCTCATGTATTTTTTGTTAAACTTATCCAAAGTTCCATATTTTGATTTTTGTGATATTCTATGAGTGTGAGGGATCGCATGCACACACACCTGTGTACATACATTTATCAAGTGTCTTCCTTTAATCCTCTTGCCTATTCTCTGAACGAGAAGCTCCCCAATTTAGCTGGAGGAACAGTCTATGGTGAAACTATAGGCAAAGCATGAAGCCATGCATGACAGTTTCATATTTATACATAGTAAGCCCTGCTATTCACTGAGCCATGTCCCCAGCTACTTTCATGAGTTAATTATTTTATATGGTTTTGTCTGCAGGTATGCATGTGTAAATTGTGTGTGCCTGCTGAAGTCAAAAGAGAGTGTCAGATACCCTAGAATATGATTTACTCATGGTTTGTTGAAATGCCATATGGTTTCTAGGAATCAAACCCAGGTTCTCGGCAAGATCAAGTGTTCTTAAGCACTGAACCATCTCTTTGGGCCATATTTTTATCATTTTAAATTTCCTGTTTTCTATTATTACATAAGAGAGATAATTACACTAAATTTAAACTGTTGCCTTGATAAATACATGTTAGCTCTAGCAGATATTATGTACGCTCCTAAAAATACTCTACATTGCTAATCATGTTATCTGCAAATAAACATGGTTTCATTTCTTTGCTTTTAAATTGAGTGATTCTTCTTCCTTTTGTTCATCTATACTGACTAGAGTGGGGATTAGCAAACAGCAACCTCTGTACCAAATCAACGCTACTATCTGTTTTTGTACAAACTGTGAGCCAAAACTGTTCTCACATTTTCTTTTTGTTTTTGTTTTTTCAAGACAGGGGTTCTCTGTAGGAGGCTGTTCTGGACCTTACTCTGTTGACCAGGCTGGCCTCGAACTCACAGAGATCCACCTGTGTCTTCCTCCCAAGTGCTGGGATCAAAGGTGTGTGCCACCAATGCCTGGCTGTTCTCACATTTTTAAATATTTAAAAGGAAATCAAAGAAATACTATTTAATAGTATATAAAAGCTATATAAAATTCAAACTTCAACATCAATTAATAAACTATTATTGGAACAGGTCACATTCACTTCTTTATGCTTTGGTGTTACAGCAACAGAACTCTGAACTGACAGCAAACCATGCCATAGAGCCTAAGACTGTAGTGACCTGACCCCTTTTATAAAATGTTTGCTCATTCCTGGGCCAGAAGCATTAGTATAATGTTCACTAGAAAGACAGGTATCTCTGCCTTTTTAACCATTCAAATTCTTAATCACTAAACCATTTTTCCAGTCCCCATTCATTCAATACTTAAGGAACAGGTAATATCTGATATACACTAAAAGCAAAAATATACTTAGTGTTTATTTAGCATGTTTCCATACATACATGAATTTCTTCTACATTACTACAGAATTCAATCATCTTCATTGTCAATACTGACTATAAAAAACTAAGAACAATGTAATACAATATATGTCAATGTAAATTATAGAAAGTGCATAGTAATAAGAAGGATATCAAAAGTTTATTATTTTACAAAAGTAAGTTCTAAGCCTGGGAAGATAGCATAGTTGGTTAAGTGCTTACCACCCAAACATGAGTTCTTGAGTTTCATCCACAGAACCCATGTCACAAAAAGGGAAAAGAATCCTGAGCCTGGTTGTAAACGTCTGTGTTCCCAGTGTGGGGAAGGCAGACAGTGAAACCCCTGTAACTTCATGGGCAGCCAGCCTAGCTTACTGGCAAGCCCTAAGACAATCACAGACCCTGTCTCAACAAACCAAGTAAATGACTTGTGAATAACTCATCCAAAATTGGTCTCTGGCCTCCACATGCAGACTCACAGGTGCATGTGCACCCCTACACAAACCACACACACACACACACACACACACACACACACACACACGTCCTCACACAAACTCTACATTTAAAAAGTATACCATTATTCTTCATGCAGAAAAATGTCTGAAAATCACCACAATCATCCCTTTACATTCTGAAGTATATGTAAATTATTGATAGTTTTTAAAAACAACATACCCACAATAAAAGGCAGCCATAAGCATATAAGTCTGAACTTTCAGAAGGAGGTTTTCCAATTTTCAATTCAGGTGATAGCAAACTCAATCCACCAACCATCATGTTCACTGAGGCTCGCTGACTCTACAAAAACAGTATTGTAAGTATTTTAGAGACAAAACAGTTGAAAGCTTTGTGTGGGAGCCTCTGTTCTCAATTTAAAGTTCTGTTGAAATATTCTATTTTCTACTCCCGAGTATCTAATTTTCTCCTCTTACAAATTTTACTTCTGTTATACTCAACCTTTGTCATACTCAGATTGAAGGTGTGGACTGAATATGAATAACTCTGAATTCTTTGATCACAGACATTGTTTTGTGTATCTTAATTTAAATCTTTACATGTGTGCATGCTTCTGTGCATGTATGTTAGGGGGTGGAAGTATGGATGAGCATGTGTGCCACTGAGCATATGTGGAGTTCAGAGAACAACTTCCTGGAGAAAGTCTTCACCTTCTGCCTTGTTGAAGCAGGGTCTGTGTTGCTTTTTCTGTTGCTACACTACTACTCTAGGCAAGCTGCCCAACAAGCCTTAGATTCTCCTGTCTCTGCCTCGCATCTCACTGTAGGAGTGCTGTAGGTATGTGCCACTAAATCAGGCTTTCTTGACTTTTTACATGGGTTCCAGGGATCAAACTCAGGTTATCAGGCTTGCATGGATAGTTCTTTACTCATGAAGCCATCTCCCCTTCCGTTTGTATATTTTAATAAATTTACAAAACAATACTAATTCTGAACGCTCTAAATATTTTTAATTAAATTGTACACATTATTTTCTTCATGACCATTTTCTAAATATATCACTTTCTAAGAGATCAAAGGACAATTAATGACAATTCATGATACCTAAATTCAGTCTACCATTAGTTGCAATTCCAATGTTCTAATTTATTTGCTGTGTGGTCTAAAATAACTTTTAAAATGGAAATAATATCTACATTATAGAGTTGTTATAAAGATGATAATGAGCACAGCGCCTACTACATATAACTAAGTATTAATTAAATATTTTCTCCACTGATGAGAACACACACCAAAGTCTCACTTATACATATAATTAAATACATTAGTTCATAAAAAGAATTACGTCCTTAAACATTCAGTACCCTACATTAACTCTGAATGTTACTATAACAAAAATAATTTACAAAAGGCCAATTATTGCATTATTTTACTTTTATGAGATTACAGAATAAGAAAATCCAGAAGTACAAACTATATTACTGGTTTCAGAGGTCTGAACAGAAGCAGAAATGATAAGTAACAGCTAATCTGTGACTACTTTGTGGTGTGATAAAAATTATCTGAAATTAGATAGTGACAATCAATACACCACTTCGTGAATACATTGAAAACTAGTACCCAATTCCATACTTTCTACTGTGTGAACTTTATCTCAATAAACTTGTACTCTAAATGGGAATTGTTGATTTAGCCACTCATAGCATATCAAAACAATAGGCAATATATAATAAACATATACATCTTTGTCAATTAAAATAAACAAAGAGGAAATTTCTCCCTTGGGATCATCTATATTACTAGACTGCCTACTCCACAAATACACATAAGAATATCACATTCTCTGAATTGTTTGAACTTTGCTATCTCTATAAGCTGCCTATTGGGAGATAATGTGATACCAAATTAAAAGTCATATAGTTGAACCTAGACTTGAATGAAATAAAAGCACCCATGGTTCTCAGGCTTCTAAAAATGTACTATGATAATAATAGCAAAGCATACATTTATAATCTATGAAAGAAAGGAACATAAGCAAAGAAAGTTTGTTACGTGTTTCCTAGCAACTGTTTCCTAATGAGAAAAGTAATAATAAATGTTGTCAATGCCATGCAGTAGGTCAGATTGTTTCTGCATTTATGGCAAAAACACAATCCTCATCATGATCTAGATGACTGTTACAGACACGATTTGTACTACATAATAAATAACACCTTTATTAAGTGGTTTCCGTCCAGTAAAGCTATATTTTACCTCAGATTTGGTGAAGTCAAAATCTCCAACAATTCCTTGTTCACGATTTAAGGCAAATACATTGTTCTGATGAAGTGATCCATGAATTATGTTAGCACTGTGCAATGTATGTAGGCCTCGAGCAACACCTTTCATGACTTTTAAAGCTTCCTACAAATAAGTACATATGAATGAGATGGAGTTTAGAAAATTGACAACTCATTTTAATGTATAAATTTTGTCTCTATTAAAAGACTGGGGCTGGAGAGATGGCTCAGTGGTTTAAGCACTGTTCTTCTGAAAGTTCTGGGTTCAATTCCCAGCACCCACATGGCAGCTCACAGCAGTCTGGTGCCATCTTCTGGTGTGCAAATGTATGTGCAGGCAAAGTACCCATATACATAAAATTCATAAATAAATCTTTTTAAAAAATAAAGACTGTCCCAGAACTGAAGTAAAGACTCCTTCAAACTAAGGGTATATCACAAAGACTGAAGGCTGGATAAAACTTAACTATGTGTGGTTGTTTAAGTAAAGCTGGCCTCAATGGGCTCATGTTTGAATACTCACCCCCCTGGTAGACTATTTGAGAAGGGTTAGGAGGAATAACCTTGTTGGAGGAGGTGTGTCACCCAGGGAAGACTTTGAGGATTCAAAAGTCTGACGTCATTTCCCTGTGTGCTCTCTGCCTCCCGCAGCTGTTTCCACCACCATGCTTTGCACTCTCTGGAATTTTAACTTCAATTAAGTGCTTTCTTTTGTAAGTTGCCTTAATCATGGTTCTATCACAGGTAAGTGATCCTCTATGTAACTGGTAACTTCAATAAGTGGTCTTTGCATACAGGCAGACACACATGCACACACACACATGGGCAGGGGCACACGCACACACACACACACACACACACACACACACACACCACTAGCTCTAAGGCAACTTAAATTATAAATTATCACCACGTCAAGTAGCTAGAAGAGAATAAAATAATGTTACTATTATAGGAAGAATCAGATCCTCCTTTATTACTAATTCTAAATTTATAATGAAAAAGCTAAAGCTGCCATTTAAAATTAAAATATCAACTACTATCCTAGAAAGCTACATATAGCACAGCTTATTGGTTGTAAGTCTGGGTTCTGAAACCATAAAGGCCTAACTTCAAGTTTCAGTTCTACTAGATGAAGAGGTTCTGTGCAAGTCACTTAATCCTTCTCAGTCTTATTTTTCTTGTGTGCACAGAGCTGATACAGCAATGAAATAGAATAATGCAGGCCAAATATTTGTGCACAAGAGCATGCGATATTGGGTGTTGCATATTAGACGTTAGTTTCTCATTTAATGCATCCCTGAAGATGATTTTTACTTACTTCTGAAGTTAAAGGCATGCTGGCTTGAACTGCACTCAGGTTTGCCTTAGGATAATATGGGACCATCAGGTAGGCGACAGGATCAGACTGAGAAGCAAAATAGAAAACGTAACTCAAAGCGAACAGTTCACCAATATATTTGTATTTTGCAGTGATTCTATGAAGCAGCTATTATTTTAAGAACAATTACTACTTAAAACTTACTTCAGATAAAATTATTTCTCCAGTAGACTAGCTTAAGAACTTTACCTTACACAGAAACAGGAATATCAATGGCAGTAACCCAGACTCTTCCTTAGCATCTCCACAAGCTCTATGATAGGAAGCTGCTCTCTGAATCACCCTGCCTTCTGTGTCAACATCCACAGAATAGCCCTGAACAAGAACAGAAAAAAAACCAGGTGTGGTCATTTCAACATTGAAAACCCATTCTAATTTACTGTTCCAAGTGAAATATAAGTTGTTGTATGTTAAATTACATATATTTTTCTATTTTAATTTGAAGTACATTCTCGATCTGCACTGAATACTGTAGAATGGGAACAAAAAAGAGTAACTATCAGCAACCTAAATCTTCATCCCCAAATATGCACAACTAAACCAACTTAAAGACCCTCTGAAGTTCATTCACAGTCTCACCTCACAAGAAGAAATTAAGGGGCTGAAGAGATAGTTAGTGGTTAAGAGCACTTGGTGTTCTTGTGATAGATGGGAGTTTGGGTCCCAGAACTCACATGGTGTCTCACAACTGTATGAACCCAAGTTCCATGGGATCCAGTGCCATCTTCTGACCTCCATGGGTGCCAGGCATGCATGTGAGACAAAGATACACATGCAAACAAACTACTCACACACAAAAAATGACATTTTAAAAAGCTTCAAAGAAATTAGGTAACACAAGATTCTGTTGGCAGCATAGCTGAGCTTTCAAGAAATATCAAAGAAAAACACAAATTTTTGAAGATTACTCAACAAAATACAGTAAGTTTACCCAAAAAAAGAAAATCAAGTAACCCTGATAAAGACAGTACTCTTCAGGGAAAGGAGAGGAACTGTAAAGTCAAATTAGCTCAAACACAATCATCATTGCCAGTCAACTGACATACTTTACAAATAGTGAGTTTGTTTTATTCCCTGAAAAGTAACTTCACTGCTTCCTTTACACTTCTGAAGCTTCCATAAATCAGAACTTAAAATTACCTTTAAGAGAACTGACTGCCCATCAACCACAGAGGACACCAGAGGACGCTTGCTGCTAAGTTCCTTCATGGGCTCAGTGTCAAGAAGGTCTCGCTCTAAGCTCATAGTAAGAAGACCACCAGAATTCTAGGTACAAATAATTACATTTAGACAATCAAAATAATTCCTTAGGGCTTTCAATCACCAACATGATTGGGGCATACTATTAAATGCAATGGAGATCATCAACTAACTGAAAAATAAAACAAAACGTTTACAGTTTGGGTTCTTTTTTTTTTTTTTTTTTTTGCTTTTGTTTTTGACGAGACAGGGTTTCTCTGTATTGTTTTGGAGGCTATCTGTCCAGCCCAGCCTCGAACTCACAGAGATCTGCCTGCCTCTGCCTCCCGAGTGCTGGGATTAAAGGCGTGCACCACCACCGCCCGGCCAGTTTGGGTTCTTCTTAATCCCTGGCTCTTGAATGCCTCCTGCCTACTGTCACTGCTGTAAATTTAACAGACTGCAGAAATGGTGAGGTTAATACAACATGCTTGCAAGAAACTCCCATACTTACTTGAAAAACCTCACATATGTCCTAAAAATTAAAATGAAGACAAGTGAAAGTAGTTAGAGAATAGTAATAAGAAATCTAAAAATGATGACTGAGTAGAACTCATACCTCTACTCCTGCTTCACATCCCTAAATGTGAAAATTATTTCATAACTTTTAATCATGATATTTTTATAATTTTTACATTTAAACTAGAATTTTTTTCCTTTAGTAGATCTGTTTGTTTCCTCCTTTGTTTTTGAGACAGGGTTTCTCTGTATAACTTTGGCTATCCTGGAACTTGCTTGGTAGACCAGGCTGGCCTCACACTCAGAGATCTGCCTGCCTCTGCCTCCCAAGGGCTGTGACTAAAGGCGTGCTCCACCACTGCAGAGCTTAATTTGTCAACTTATTTTTTAAATTTCATATATGTGTACTATATTGACACATCATGCCCCCTCCCTCCAAGTCCTCTTATATCTTCCCCACTCTCATATTCATGGCCTCTTTTTTATTTTTGTTACAGACACACACACTATGCTGAGTCCATTTAGTGTTGCTCACACATGTATGTTCTTAGTGCTGGCCACTTGATACTGAATAACAAATTGGGGTTATTCCTGGGGAAGACTGATTTTCCATATCTTACCAGCTATTAATTACCTGTAGCTTTTTATCTAGGGTAAGACCCTGTGAGATCCTCTAACCACATTACGATGAAACTACTAGTGTCACTTTCCAAACCATTATAATGTCTAACTGTACTCTTAATACTCATCCTTACACCCACCAATAAGTAGAGCTCTCACCCCTCATCAAACGATCTTCCTTCTGCAGCAGACAAAGATCAGTACAGAATCCACAACTGGTCAAAATGCAAAGAACCACTGACCATGGGTTGCCAGATCTAGTAGATACATCTACAACCCAATCCATACACCTAAAGCTCAGGGAGCATCACAGAAAGTCTTGTGCAATATTCCTTAGTCTATATATGACAGGGAAGCTGAACCCATGAACTCTCAACAATATAGATGCGTAAACAAGACCCAGACAACGACAAAGTTTTGTTACAGTATAGTTTTAGAGGGCAATATTATAGGATTGTTTCCTAGTGTTTTTTGTGTTGTTAAATTTCAGTAATACATGATGATCAGTTATAAAAGATTTCTAGGCCTACACCGCAAAATCATCTGAAACATAATCCATAAACTATGATTTGAATCTCTTACACACTAATAAATAAAATAATCTTCAACTTCCATATAATTATATACAGTCACCAGACACAAAACAGTCTCTAAAGCTAGAGTTACTAACTTCAAAGAAAAACACACAATTTTTTTAACTTTTTACTTTTTTGTTTTTGTCCCGTTTCTTGAGGTTTGGGGGATGTTTGTGGTTTTTTTCTGGGGTTTGTTTTTGTTTTTTCAAGACAGGGTTTCTCTGGTAGGC